GCTAACCCTGGCTGTCCTGTTGAGAGGGACAAGTTAGGTGGTGTCGGCAATATTCCAGGCAAGAGAAGATGGTGGCTTGAAACAATGGAGTCAGTAGGGAAACAGTGAAGAGTAGCAGATTCTGGACGTATTCTGAAGGCTAATAACAACAGCAAGGACTTCATTAGAAGATGCAGGTTAAAAAAAATATTTGGAAGAAGCCCTCCATACTTATAATGCAACACACACGCACGCTGTCTCTGTCTCTGTCTCTTTCTCTCTCTCTCTCTCTGGTTGAGGTGGTCCTTTAGACATAGATTTAGCTGTGTTCCCATCCTCAGCCCTGCACCCATACCCCAGTAAAAAGTGAAAAACCTAGGGAAGTGATCCATCTCTGATCTCTGGATCTGGAATAGATTTTAGCTTTGAAGTTATACCAGTCACTCTGGGAGCAGAGTCTTTGACATTTGGGAATCTTTGCCCTGGGAGAGACTGGTCCACAGTCAGGGGCCCTCAGAGGGAAGCTGCTAGATACAGAGGGAATTTGCAACCTATCCTCTTTGTTATACTGTTTGGAATGGAATGAGCACTGGCATATAGGAGTGCATGGACATGTGAGTCACGGTCCTGCCTCTAACGTCCCTTTCCCTGAACTTCAGTTTCCTTGTCTGTAAAATGTGTTGTGGAAGGTGATCCCAGGTCCTTGCCAGTCTAAAAAGCTGTTTTAGAACTTGCTTCCTGCATAGGTTTACTTCCTGCACAGGTTTGTCCTGCTCCTTTCCAAGATCTTCAGGTTCTTCCTCTTCTGGCCTCTTCCTGCTCCCTTTTTGGGGTCAGCCCCTCACCCGGCTCCATCTCTTCTTGTTCAAACACCTGTTATTCCAGGAAGTACCACGAGGGGGAGCCTTCATTTGGCTGTCGGGGTAGGGAAGGAAGCCAACTCAAGCCTACAATTAGGGAGGGAGTCAGCCTGTCTCAAGGGGCCCCAAGACCCAGATTAAAATAGAAGGTTGAGGGGCTTAGGAAGGGGAATCTAGGCTACTTTATGCTATTCTTGTCCTATCATACACTCTTAAATGTATGTGGTGGGATTATCTCATTTAACTGTCCATCTAATGTCTGAGTCACCTCTACGACTGGGAGAACTGAAGCTCAGATAGGTTGCAGGCTCACCAGGATCACACAGCCAACCTGGACCAGAGTTGTTGATGGCGCAAGTCTCCTGCATGGGCCCAGGTCTCACTCAGCTTATCTCCACCACCCCCAGGGCCTTGCCACAGGCTGGGCATATAAGGGTCCTGCAGGGATGCTTTCTGAATGAATGAGTGGGCCCTCTGGACTAGGGTGCCGCTTCCCTGCAGTAAGCCTCCTCTGCCCTGCGCTGGCCAGCACAAGCACAGAGCTAGCTGACATCTTGGGTCCACTTTCTGTCCCTCCCTCTCACCTTCCCAAACCACAGTGTTCATCTCTTCTCACGTAACTTCCATGACCAGGCAGGGCTGCCCAACAGTCATGCCCTCACCAAGAACCCAGCCCTCTTCTCTTTATCTTTCAAGTCTTGCTCAGCTCTGTCCCCTCCTTCAGGAGGCCTCCTTTGACATACCCTCTCACCATGGGGAAGAGATGGGGTTATTCCCCTGGAGATACCCCCCAAATAAGTTGCCTAGTTATAAAGCATTAATCATTGTTTAAAAGTTATTCGATACTTATCAGAGCTTCTCTACAGTGGGGAGGAACTGAGTGTTATTCTTCTTGGAGTCCCAAGGCCTGCTGAAGACTCAGGTCAGCCACCGAAGACCTTCTCCCTTGGGCCCTGCCTCCGTCTCCCCTGTGCAGTATTAGAAGTCACTGTGGGACTGGAGACCTGGGCACATTTGTAAATGATTGATTAGCGCTCCCCTCCCCTCTCACCTCTCCTGATCCCTCAATATCAGGAAAGGTGACAATTCTATACTTCTGCAGATCCCTCAGAACTCTCCTCAGCCTCCCTTCAGCCCCTCTAAACCACCAGCTCTCCATATCTCACAGGGATGTTTACACAGCCAGCACGCCCCAGCCTCAGCTTCTGCAGATGACCAAGGCCCTCTGGTCAGAGGTGGCTATCAGGAGTGAAAGGAGGAGGCAGCTCCTTCAGAAGGTATTCTCCTTTTCCATCCCTCTGTCCAAGCCAAGACAGGCTTTCCTCGAGCAAAACTCGCCTCACGTGTTCCCCCCCACAAGACTTGTTACACTTCCCAATCCTCCTCCCCCGCCCTCACCAGGTGAGTTATAGAAGACCTAGAACTGGACCTTTTGCAGCTAAGGTCAGGAGGAGCCATGAGACTCACAGCTGAGGTGTACTTCCACTGGATTTGACTCATTTGTACAGGTGAGGAAAGTAGGGCCCAGGAAAAAAGGTGACTAGGTCATTCCCTCACCTATTCATTCAACAAATATTTACTGAGTGGCTATTATGTGTGAAGCCCTGTTCTAGGGCTGAGACTTTTTCTTAAAGCCTTGGTAGCATCTACAATCTACTGGGAAGAGATAGACAAACAAATTAGCAGGTAAGTGTGTAGCATGTTAGATGGTGATTAAAGGCTGTGATAGAAGTAAAGCAGGGGAGGGAAATAAGGACCCTGTGTGTATTGGAGGGGAGCAGTCAGAGAAAGCCTTAGCAAAGTGAGAGTGGGAACACTGCAGAAATCCGGAAAATGGTTATTCCAGACAGAGGCACTAGGAAGTGCAAAGGCCCTGAGGCAGAAAGGTGCTGCCCTGCCTGCAGGACAGTGAGGAGGCCAGTGTGACTGGTGTAAGGGGAGGTGGGGGAGGATGGGATAGAAGAGCCCAGAGGTGATCAGATCATCCAGGGTCTTGTAAGGACCTTTTTCTCTCTGTGCAGCCATTAGATTTTTGAACAGAAGATGGACATGATCTGACTTTGGTTTAAAAAAGCTAACCCTGGCTGTCCTGTTGAGAGGGACAAGTTAGGTGGTGTTGGCAATATTCCAGGCAAGAGAAGATGGTGGCTTGGAACAGTGGGGTGAGTAGGGAAACAGTGAAGAGTAGCAGATTCTGGACATATTCTGAAGGCAAAGTAAACAAAATTTGCTAAGGTGTTTGATGAATGATGACAGAATATGAGAGGAGGTGAGAATAACTCAAAGATTTTCTTCCCGAGTAACTGGAAAAATGAAGTTGCCCTTTTCCGAGATGGAGAAGACTGAAAGGAGCAGTCTGGGGAGAAAGATCCGGAATTTCAAAGTTGTACAAGTTGAATTTGAAGTGTCTACTAGACGTTCGGGTGGAAATAGGAAACAATTATAGTTCTGCAGGTTAGGAGAGAGATGGTGGTACAGCTAAGAGAACAAGAACTCTCACGTCTCAGACTCCCGGTAGAGCTCTTTCCACAGTGTGGGCAGTTCTCTGCTGTGGGTTGGAGAAGTTAAATACCTGCGCTGCAAACCCAGGGCGCCAGGAGAGGAAATACGGTAACCCGGGCTCAGCCCCCAGCCCCAGCCAGCTCAACGCCGCGTGGAGGGGGGGACAGGGAGGGACTGCGCGGGACCTCGCGGGGAGGGGCCGGCTATCTGGGGGAACTTGGGCGAAGCCGGAGGGGGCCCCGGGCTCTGCACGCATCAAGGGCGGAGCGGGGTCTGCTCGGCTCGGGGCGGATCTTCCCTGAGGTCTGGGTTTCTTCTCTCGGCAACAGTCCTGCCTAGTTTCCTTGAGCCACCGTCAGATATTTATTTAACCTCGCAGTTCAGCCTCCCAGGGGCCGGCTGGGAGGGATGGAGGGAGGGATGGAGGCAGGGCGCGGGCAGCCTGGAGATGGGGAGCGAAACGGGAAACATTTCCTTCCCACTGCACAGGCCGCGGTGCCTCGCTCACTCGGGCGGAGGGGGAGGAGACGGGAGGGGAGGGAGGGGTGTCCCACCCAGGCCGACCAGCCTTTCAGGGGTCAGCCAGCCCCTTGGATTCCAAGAGAATGCAGGTCCACCTGCATGGGCTTAGGAACGAGGAAACGAGGGGAGGCGAAGCAAGGTCCCAGGTTACCAGTCTCTGCGAACCCCCTCCCTTGTCCATTAAATGAGCACCTTGGTTCCGCGGTGCCAGGCGAATCCACAGACCTGAGTTCTGTAAGAAACCCCAATGTTTGCCAGCCTTATGACTCCGGGCCAGACACCTCACCTCTCCGGGCCTCGGTTTATTGGTCTATAGAAAGGAGTCATCATTCTCACCCTGCCTGCCTTGTCTTGTTGAGGGACTAAATAATTTTTCTGAATACCAGCTGCCAACTGTCGAGTCTCAGCGAGCTGGCACTGTCCCGGGCCTCCTGTTGGCCCGGCTTTGCACCCCGACGCTTGTCTAGCCAGTGAGGATGAGGGGTAAAGGAAGGACGAGGGAGGCCGGAACCCAAATCTCGGACCAGAAAGGAGCCCCCACCGCCCGAGGCCCCGCCCGCCCCCGGCCCAGGGGTCAGTGCTGGGGGCCCGGGGGAGCGGAAGTCCCCGCTCCGAGGCCCACTCCCCGCCCCCCGCGCCGCCCGCCTGCCCCGGGGCAGGTGAAGAGGGGACCAGGCTCCGCTCCAGGTGGCGGGGCAGCGACGGGGGTGGGGAACGGCAACAATAGCACTTTTATTTGGGACTGTTTGGTTCTGAGCGGGTGGGCGGGCTGCGGGGGAGGGGGTGGTCAGCGGCATCTGGCTGCACACCTGCTCCTGCTTAACCCTGTGCGTGCCGGGGCGACGGCGGGCGGGCTGCGGAGGACCAGACGCCGGCACGGGGGGCGCGGAGGCCGCGAAAGCCAGTCTCCCCGGTCCCTGACCGGGCCTGGCTGTCCCGGGGCGCACGGGAAGGGGCGTCCCTGGCAGGACAGTGGGGATGTCCCCACACCCTTGGCTGCGCCCCTCGACCTGCGCTGGCCTCTTGGGCACAGCCCGAGGCTGGGGAATCGGCCTCCAGCGCCAGCGCGGCTCGGGCGGGAGAGGGAAGGCGAGGGGTGGCTCCAGGGCCTCGGCGCGGATTCCCCGCCGCCCTCGGGCCGTTCCGGGAAGCCGGCCTTCCGGAGGCCGCGCGGCGGCCACGGCCTTGCCAAGGGCGCGGGGCGTGGGCCAGGCCCAGCGGGCGGCCTCCGGGCGGGGTAGCTCGCGCTGGGCGCGTCCCCTAGCACTAAACGCTTCCAGGCGCGGCTCTGCAGGTGAGTCCGGGCGCCCAGCGCACCCACACCCTGGGCCCCGGTCTCGCCGTCGCTCCCTGCCGGCCGGGAGTCCGGGCCGTCGAGCCCCGCGCTGCACCTGCCCGCGCCGGGACCCCTGCCCAGCCAACCCTACCACCCCCTCCCACCCCAGGCCTGGCGCGCCCGCCCGCCGCACAATCGGAGCTTGTTTGTGGGCGGAGGAGCCGCGCCGGGTGCGGCGGCCCCGCGCCAGCCCACTGATCCCATAAAATATTATTTGTGTTTAAAAATTCCAGTAATTGGCTATGCAGCCGCTTTTTCCGAGCCCCGTGCCAAGCGCCGTAAAATCGCAGTCCGGCTGGGGTTATTTTCATCATGCAAATTCCCATTTCTGTAAACAGGGTTAAAAGACCCTGGAAGAGGCCCGGCTGGAACCAGAGAAGAAAAGCAGAGGGATGTGTTCTCTGAGTCTGGGAGTTGGTCAAACTGGTTCTCCATTCCTGCGATGACCTGGGTAATTGGGACGAGTGATTCAGATAATTCTCCCCCATCCCCCACCCTCCCCACGCCCAATTGCTTTGCCTTGAAGACCAGTGTCTGGACTCTGTTGGATAGAATCCCTGATTTCCTTAACTGCCCCTTCCCTTTCCTCAACTGAATAATTGACACCGTCAAATCATGCAATCACAATTCTTTTCTTCTTTTTTGAAATCACTGGATCAAACAGGCTCAGAGAGGGTAAGGGACTTGCCCAAAGTCACACAGCAAGTTTGTGCGAGAGCACAGGCTTATGTACAGATTTTCTGAGTGTCCAGTGGGCAGGACTCCTATAGGGCTTGGAAGAGGGGGAGCCCTACTGCGGGTGCCTAGGGCAGTCAGCACAGAGAGCCCTGGGGCCTGGCTGTAGTATGCTGACTGTGGGCACAGTAATTGGGGGAAGCTCTCTCCCTCTGCAAACACACACTTCCCATCCCTTAGGAGCTGGGAGCCGCCTGGAGAGGAAGAAGCAGTCCCTGCCAGGGCCTTGGAAACCCTGAGTAACGGACAGGGGAGCCAGTGCCCTGCTCCACCCAGGGATAGCTGCTGTCTGCAGCACAGAGCTCGAACCACACACGTGGGAGGAATGGATTTCTTAAACAGATGCTGAAAGGAAGCCCAGATTCTGAAGCTGGAAAGAGCAAAAAATAGGATATTATTTGAAATGTAATATTGTATTATATATGACACGTTATTGCCATATTTGTATTGAGCACTAAGTATGTGCCAGATGCGCTTTCACAATTTTTCTCATTTAATCCCCACACCAGCCTAGGAGGTGGGTGTTGATATTATATCCACTTTCCAGATGAGGAACTGAGGGTCTGGGAGATAAAGTCACTTGCCCAAGGTTACAAGTAAGAAAAACCCTTTCTCTGTGGATTTTGGTGAATGGAAGACTCTAAATTTCCTTCTTTCCTTCTCCAAGTCTTCATACCAGCCCAGCCTCCTCCAGCCTTCCTCCACCTGCCCCTGCAAGCCTTTGTGCAGGTTACCTCCTGACCCTGGATGGTCCTCCTCCCTCCTATTCTTCATGGCCCCCATCACCTCCCCTTCTTCTTCAAACCTGAGACTCCCCCAGCCTCAGAGGCTGGGGAACATCTGCACAGATAAAGTCTAGGTGATGTTACATTTAGGCCACTAACTCAGCAGGTTAAAGGAAAACAGATTCTGGAGCTCTTCGCTTGGCAACAACTTTTTTCCCCCAAGAAAAGTGGCTATATGCTTCAGAGTGCCCCCTCCTCCATGCACATCCAAACACCCACCCCCGCCACCTTCCCAATGCTCCCCCTCAAAAAAATAGGAGTGCTGGTTATAGTTCAACAGAAATAAGACATTTCTAGTGTTCAGGATCATTTTATTGCAGAGTGGGGAGACTTGGAGGCTCTGAGCCTCCTGTCACCACAAATGTCTCAGCACAGGCTAGAGGTCCCCTGTCCACTGGTGCTGCCAGAGAAATTCCTGGATCCCCTTTGGCCAACTTGCTCTGAAATCAGTTCCAGCCCTAGGATTCCAGCTACATTACTGTACTTCTGATCAAAGTGAAATCAGAGTTAGTGTGTAAGTTTCTTATCAGTCTCTGAACAGAAATCCCACTGAAGTGGCTGGTATCGACGGGAAAGGAGAGAGGACCTTCAGCAGGGCCAACTTTCTGGGGTCGGGAGAGACACACGGTAGTGGCTGTGTTGGAGGGGTCCTTGTTGAGAAAGAGAAAATGGAGAAGAGTCTGGTACCGGAGCACCTGCAGCAGAAGGCTGTAGCCTGGGGAAGCATAGGAAAGGCCATACCCAGAGTCCCAAGGGCCGTGCAAGGGTCTCTGAAGGCCTCACCTCCTCCTCGGAGCTCATCCCAGCCTTCTAGGTTTCCTATCTTCAGCTTTGCTTCCTGCTCAGGTGGGGCCTGGAGTGTGTTATGTTCCAGGTGAGGAACCCTCCTCCTCCCAGCAGTGTGCATCCTAGACAGGGCTTGGAGGCCCAGGAATCCAGGAAGGATGCCTCTTCTGTCCGTGCCTCTGCTGAGTTCCAGGTGCCAATACCCTCCTTCCCAGAGCCCATAATCACAAGAATTAAGGAGAGGAGCAATTGCCTCTTTCCTTAAGGGAAGGAAAGAGTCCCAAGTGAGGTGAGGGCTCTATCCATGAGGCAGCTGTAGCAAAAGATCTGGAGGAGATTGAGGTGCAGTGGACTTCCCGGGAGCTCGCCCAGGCCAGGACTGGTGAAGCCACAATGGCTTCTTGGGGTGTATGATCCATGAATATGATGTCACAGTGAGATTTGGAGGCATGGCTGGTACTTTTGAGCTCATTTCTCTTTGGACCTTGAAGGATGGGACTGACAGCCTGGCTCAGATTCCCCAGGGAGCAGGCCAATGGCTGGAAGAGGTGTTTTTCCCTGCTCGCTGTCCCTCCCGGCCATGCTTCCACGGGTACAGCCTGAGGACACAGGTGATGCTCCATCCTCACCCACCTTGGCTTCCTGCTCTGCCCCTCAAACCCTCCTCTCCTTGTCATCCAAGGAGGAGGTCACCTCTTTGGGAGACCAGCCCCAAATGGAGCCCAAGTCAGCTTCCACATGATGACCTTCAAGATATGTCTAAGGCTTCCTCCAAAGGCCAGACCCTGGGCCTCCCCTGAGGGACCCAGCTCCTCCCAGGCCCTGTGACAGCCAACCTGATACCAATTTAGTCTCTGATTATTATCACAAGCCCCATCAAGAATTGACCTCTCAAAGGTCGAACCATGCTCTCTGCCAAGACCTCCCATTCCCCAGGCACACGTGACCATTCCTCACCCACTTTTCTTCAAAATAACTATTTTATTGGATTAGCAATAGGCTGCCTCTTTCTTCTGTTCCAAAAGACGGAGGAGGGAAACCCAACTCCACACCCTTTCAGGTGCATTATTTAATCTAATCTAACCTTCACAATAGGCCCAAAAGTTTGAAAATATGTCAGATTTTGTAGATGAGGGAACTGAGGCTCAGAGAGGTTGATACTTGCTGAAGTGGCAGAGCAAAGATTTTATCTCAGATCTGAGTCTGAAGCCCATAGTCCTCTCTCTCAGCCTCACAATATCCTGGAGGCAGATCGATGACAATACAATGGACAAGAGACTGGGAACTTCTAAGACCTTGAACTCCATCAGTGGAGGCTATTTTAATCGGTCTGGCTCTCTTTGAAGACTTGGAGTCGGCTGCATTCATGTTCCCACCCTGAAATCTCATTTCCTTCCATATGTTGCTCAGGCCAAGCCAAGCAAATGTACTCACCCCTGATTCTCCTCCCCAAGATACGTACAATGCAAACTGGCCTCTTTTCCCTTGGTATTACCATCACCTCCTTGTGATTCCAGTCCATACCCAATTACAATATGTGGACTTAATTTGAATCCTGAATCAAAAAAGCTGGAAGAAAAATATATTTGTGGCACAGTTGAACACTGACTGGATATTTGTTGTTTTTAAAGACTTCACTGTTTGAACAACAGACTTTTTAAAAGAACAGATTAAGATCTATAGCAAAAATGAGAAAATCACACAGAGTTCCCATATATGCCCCCCTTCCCCTATGATTAACATCTTATATTTGCATGTTACATTTGTCACCATGAATGCACCAATAATGATACATCATTATTAACTAAAGGCCATAATTTATTCAGATTCCCTTAGTTTTTACTTAGCATCCTTATTTTTGTGCATGCCAGGATCCCACCCAGGCTTCTACATTACATGTAGTTGTCATGTCTCCTGAGGCTCCTCTTGGCTGTGACAGTTCCTTAGACTTTCTTTATTTTCAACAACCCTGGTGGCCTCCAAGAAGTACTAGGCAGGTATTTTGTAGGTTCAGATTATTAAAATAGAATCGAATTCAATTGGAATTTGATGTTTTTCTTACAATTAGGCTGGAGGTATGGGTTTGGGGAGGAGGATCACAAAGGTCAAGTGTCACTTTTATCATATCATATAGAGGGTACATACTATCAACTTAATTTGGGACTGTGGACATTGACCTTGATCATCTGGCTGAAGTGTTTGTCAGGTTCTCTATTGTAAAGTTGTGCCTTCCCCACTCTTTCCATACTGTCCTCTTTGGAAGGAAGTCAGTATGGCCAGCCCACACTTAGGGGTGGGGACTTATGCTGCTCATCCCCCTTGAGGGCAGGATAGTTACATAAATTATTTGGAATTCTGCACATATCTCTCTCTTTTCCCCTATTTATTTATTTACCCAATTAACTATTCAAGGGTATCTATTTTGTACATTGGATGATAATCCAATACTACCTATCTTGTCACTCAAATTGTTCCAATTTTAGCCATTGGGAACTATTTCAGTTGGCTTCTGCGTCCCTTTGACATACCCCATCAATGTGGGATCTTTGTTTCATCTTAAGAACTTCCATACTTTCTGGCACTATAAGACACTCCAAGTTCATCTTGTATATTTCTTGGCCTAGTCCTAGAATATGCCATTTCTCTAAAAAGTCCTGGTTCCTTTTACTGTAGAATGATCCAGGAAACCTAGATTTGGGTGCCAGAGGGGCCTGTTGGTATTGAATTTTTGTAATTTTTATTACTTTTAATTTTTTACCTGATAATGGTACTGAAGTTATTTTTTAAAGAGTCCTTATCTTTTAAAAAATATATGAACTATTTATGGCTGAAATGATATGTCTACAATTTGCTTCAAAATAATAGTGGATCAACAAAATGGGCATAGAGGGCAAGTACCTCAACATTATAAAGGCCATATATGTAAACCCACAGCTAACATCATACCGAACAGCGAGAGGCTGAAAACTTTTCCTCTGAGATCGGGAACAAGACAGGGATGTCCACTCTCCCCACTGTTATTCAACATAGTACTGGAGGTCCTAGCCATGGCAATCAGACAAAACAAAGAAATACAAGGAATCCAGATT